GCTCCTTTTTCCATCTTTTTGCTCCATTGACCTTAATTCATCATCCCTGCAATAAAACATCAAAAATACTTTTCTTTAAAGTGCAATATCATTAAAAACAGTATAAAAGAGGTACAAAAATCTCAACATATTTTACTTTGGTCACAGATCGGGCTTGGTCATGACACTACCCGCATTTACGCATATTTTTAATCTACTTAATTATGTCAGAAAATATATTTCAATTTATATCTAGCAGTTAGTGTGAGCACTTGCAATGATTTATGAATTATATAATAGATTTTCATATAATGAGTACTAGACAGGTATATGTATCGTTTCATGTAATATATGGTTTTCTTTTAAATCCCCAGTGTTGATCCCACGAGGAATGCAATAACTCTTAAAATCGACTTACAAAAATTCTATTTAAATTGAAAATTAAAAATATAAAAGATTTAAAATGATATGCTTACTAAAAGTTACTACTAAAAACGCTTAAAAAGAAGGTAACAACTAAATGTAATAGCTTAGAAAAATATAACAACAAGTTTGTATATTATGAAAACATTTCCCCTTGCAAAGATATTTTAATCTATGTAGGATTCACATGATTTAAGATAAAATTGAGGTATTGTGACAAATAGAAACATACATTATTCTTTACCCCCTCCTGGTGCTTGCAAAGAACATTAGCTAACTTAAGGCCGATTCTTTAGCATGTCGACTCCACATCAGTGCTATCTAGCCTCTCACCTCTAGATGCCCCTAGCCTATGCCATTGTAATGACTGAATCCCAACGTCAGGGTACTAAACCTTAAGCCGAACTGATAGGAATCTAGCCTGCCACTCTAGATGTAACCAAGTCTACGTCCATCAAAACTTATCTTCATATTTATTTGCACTACCCCTTAGGTGATCGCAATGGCTTTGCTTAGAAGGAAGTGTGGTATCCACTACTTGAGTGAAATCATAGCCCTCCTAGGTCATTATGTCTCTCAATGAATTTTAACCTCACAAGTGGTCAGTTTGTAAAATAAATGAAGATTCAGTGAAAATACCATCACAATTTTTAAGAGTAAAAAAGAATTCCTTAAATTATTCTCATCCCACAAGATTAAGTCTCATAAGCAAGAATAAAGTAAGGGAATTACTCATAATTCATGAAGATTAAACAAAAACAAAACATTTGCATTGAAATCCAAGACTTACAACAAAAAATCAAACACAAGTACAAAATACCTTATATCTTCTCCCCAAGCAAACTTCTGGAGTTTCATCTAAGCAATCTCCAAAACTTCTTCACTCTAAAGCACATTCACACTCATACTTGAACACAAAATATGACAAACCTAACTCACTATAACAACCCAATTGAAGTTGTTAGGCTCTAAAAGGTCCTTAAATTCAGCCAAATCTTTCTCATTAGATAGAAAACAAAAAATAAGCAAGGGTTGCTTGAAACACCCCTCCAAAATTCAAAAAAATTTGATGTATCTTCTAGAAAGGTAGTTACTGGTGCTATAGCGCCAGTCTAGGGCGCTATAGCATCTTTCTCACTCGATGGTGGCACTATAGCACCACACAAAAATCATCATTTTTGCTCCATTATTTCCTCATTTTCTCTAAAAGTTCATTTCATGTATTGAAAACAAAAAACAAGCAAAATACATTCATTTAAAGTGCAATATCATAATAAATGTACATAAAATGCTTATAAAATATGCACTAAAAATATTTTATATGAGTTGGATCAATTCCCACAAACTTAAATGTTACTTGTTCTCAAGTAACTCATTATACTATATATAAATTTATAACATGTGGTAACAAATTTAACTTAAAGAATTCTATAATTTCTAATTTTTAAAATGCTATAGTGAAACTTAAAATTTTTTTTTTTAATAACTCAGGTTAAAAACTAAAATACAAGATCATTTAGAAGTCAAGTTTAAAACTTTTGACTTTTTATTTATTCCAAAAATAATTGCAATTAGTCATACTTAAGATAACTAGAAGAAATATCAGAAAAAGAATTTCATGAGAGCTTTATTAGTAAAGATGGTAATGCTTCTAAGTCTAAGTTAGAAATGTAACTAAGTTTCCTTCCTTAAGATGATTCAAGTAGAGCCAATTTTTTATTAGGCATCTCGTCAAGTTTCTCCTCACATTTTTTTTTGCTTTTTTCTTAGGATTGTTTTCAATCACTTCTTTCTTTCTTTCTTTTCTTTCTCTTTTTCAAATGTCATGTGGGGATTATTATATCTGGATAGCTTTTAATGATTTTGAACTCCAATATCCTCCTCTTAAAGTTAAAAACATCTGACATTTCTTTACTTTAACAAATGTGTAGCTTTGAAGATTTTTCATAGTCTCAATTCTTTCTTTCTAAGTATAAATCTTAGATCCTTAATATTTCCAAGAAAAACAATATTCTTTACTTTAAATAGCAAAAGCATAACTCCAAACCTTTCATACTAAACATCTTGATTCTAGAGCTAACCTTTATTATTAAAAACTTCTACTTAGTTTCATAAAATCAAAAACATAGTTTTCTAAAGTTAACTCTACATACCACACATTAAAACTAGTTTTGAAAAATACAATTTCCTGAGGACAAAATAAAGTTTGGTTTAAAAATCTTTTTTCTCCCTTCCCCCAATCTTAAATTTTTAAACTAATTTAAAGCAGGAAAGTTCATGAAGAAACAATAAATTTTTAAATTTAGAAACAGAGAAATGAATGTAGGTGCTAGTAGCAAAAGACAAGTACTGAGTAATGATAAACATAAGATTAACATGCATAAAAAAAAAAAAAAAATACACTATTCTAGCATTTCATTTGGAGCAGAAGACAAATAGTAGAACTAATAGTTTAACCAAAACAAATACTAAATACAAGCACATTACAACACAAATACAACTAGTTATGAACAAAATAAAGTCCAAATATTCTAACACATCAGTGGAAAGAAAGAAAATAACACACTACACATCTTCGTCATCTCCAGCATCATCATCATCATCATCATCACCCAAATCTATGTCCTCATCCATCTCAGAAGGTCTATATGGTGTGAAAGTGGGACGAGTAGGAAATTTCACAGTATAATCACCTCCAATGTATCTCCTTGTAGCCTTATTATAAGCAAAATCATATTCAACCTTTCTCAACATAAAGTGGGGAAGGATGCTTTCTTAAATTTGAACCCTTCGTTACAAAACCTAGTTTAGTTTTAGTAAATTTAACTTTCAAGTTTAGAGATTAGTGAAATAAACTTAATTTCTTTAGTGTTATTAAAAAAATTTTGACCTGTTTTCTTAAGTTTTCTATAATTCAAATATCGTGCTTTTGTGTGATTTTCCAAACGAGTTTTTACATCCCTACAGGATCGATACTTAGGAATCCATTAGAGTCCTTTATTACTTGAGCGATACGTATACTTACGTTTGCAACCTAGTGATGACTTGAAATTGAAAATACACATTAATTCACTAGAAGCGACAACTTTAGATATTTTAAAGGAGAAAACTTATTTTACTAAAGAAGAATTTTTTGTGATTAATTTGCATATTTTGAGTTTAACTATCTTGTGTGTACATCTTAATTCACTAAGAGCGACAACTTTAGATATTTTAAAGGAGAAAACTTATTTTACTGAAGAAGAATTTATTGTGGTTAATTTGTATATTTTTTAGTATAACTGCCTTGTGTGTTGTTGTGTTGAAAAACATTTATAACACATAAAAAAACTCGCATCACTTATCAAAGTTTTTCTTTGACCAACCTATTGATCTACACTTTTTTGGGAACAAGCTTTCTGTGTCAAGTCATTATGGATGTGTAACATCGGCCCCTTAGCTCAGTGGTAATTACTAATAAGATTATAGTGATTCACCCTCTGTCTAGTGCCCTAGTTTTGCCACAACGACTGAAGGATTTGTTTCACTGAAACCGTTGGAACTCTCCTTGAATGCCAATGTTTTAAAAGACTATTTTAAAAGCAAACACATCTTTTATCACGAGTCTTCATGGGTTTTACCTCATGATGTAATTGACCGCGAGAATATATTATTTTGGGGGGTCTCTTAAACCCTTAAGAAAATAAATTTGATTTTTTATTCTAGTTTTACTATGAGAGTCTTTCTATAGGATATTTTTTCATATATTTTCTCGAGATGAGTATGATCAGTTTTACTTGGCATAAGCTTGAGAGTTGTATGAGAACAAATAAAGATATCCTTAGGCTAGATAGCAATTGAGTGACAAACGAAAGGTCAATTGAACAAGAGTACAATCGAACCAGAGGCAGGTATCGATCAAGTAGCCAAACAAGGGTAAATTGATCTGGAGATCAACAAAACTAAAGATTGACCGACTCAAAGACCACAAGGGTAACAGTCGACCAATAAGAGGACGATTGATCAGATATTTAACGACCCCATGACCTTAAGCTAATTGATTGAGTGTCGATTGATTAAAAAGGGTAAGAAGTTTAATTATTATTTCACACTATTTACATTCATTTATGTAGATAGCAACATTAAATCTAATAGTGGTTGAAACTACATACGAAAATACCTAATTTCTCACATCTCTTTATATGTTTCTCTCTCCTTCCAACACTATTCCATATGCTTGATTCATGGACAAATTTTAGTTCAACATATATAATTCACTCTATTTAAGCAAAATTATCACATTCTAGAAGACTCTAATTAAGTTATTGAGCTTATGAGCAAATGCTTAATATCTATCACAATTTTTCTATGCACCTTATTTAAATACACTTATTGAATGATAGTTTTTAAATCCAACTTAAGCTAACTAATTTAAATTTTGAATTCATCAAACCATTGAAAATAATTTAATTGAATGTAAACCCTATCATACCAAACAATTTTCAGGATTTAAACCAACTAGGATTAACTAAATTCGGATTTATAAGATTAAGTAAATTCTATTTAAATTCAATTTTCCTTGTAACCGAACAGCCTTAAGTGCTTTCCAATGTGTGGTTTATCATAAGAATTGAAATATTTATAAATAGACAAATTTTGGCCGAATGTATCACCAATAATCCTGACAAGAACACACTCCATCTTTGAAGTGGTGAAACCTATTCCTATCTCTCACAATAATCTCTCTTTCAAAAACTTTTGATATAAACTTGGACACATCATGACAATCCCAACAAACCCTGAGGTTCTTCACAATCCTGATGGTTAAACCTTCCTTGAGGACAATAAGCCCATATGCAATTGCCAGTTTCTCACTATGCCAAAAAAGAGCATTCTCTTTCTCCTCTTCCTCAATGTCAAATAACACTTCATTAGTTTTGGCTTCATAGCCAGCTAGTTTCAGCCTCCAATTAATCTCTCCCAGCATGATCTCAATCTCCCGATACATTGGATGAGATTTATCCCCAACAAAGAACTCATGAACAGTACCAGCAACCTCAATCACACTGCAACCAGGTTCTTTCCTAACTCCCTTTGCCTTCATCAACTCCCGCACATTGCTGACTCCCTTCCAATTCCTGGAGTCAGCATATATGTTTGACAAAAGCACATAAGCCCCATCATTCATTGCTTCAAGCTCCAAAATTTTCTTTTGGGCAAGTTCTCCCAACTCGATGTTTCGATAGATTTTGCATGCATTAAGCAGTGCTCCCCAAGCTCCAGTATGGGGATTACAAGGCATAGATTTAATGAACTGCAAAGCCTCTTCTAGTCTCCCAGCTCTGCCATACAAGTCCACCATGCACCCATAATGCTCAGGCCAAGGCTCAATACCGTATGTACTCTTCATCAAATCAAAGTACCGAAGCCCCCTATCAACCAAACCCGACATGCTACACCCACGAAGAACTGAAACAAATGTGATTTGATTGGGCTCTAACTTCTCTTTCTCCATGAGCTCAAAGACCTCAATGCACTGTTTGCCTGCTCCATTCATAGCAAGACCACTCATTGCACTGCTCCAAGTGTACACATTCTTCTCAGGCATGGACTCGAACACTTCCATAGCTCTCCCGACACAACCACACTTGGAATACATATCTATGAGCGCAGTACCAAGTTCTACAGTCAGCTGAATTCTCTTCTTCTGAATGTATGCATGCGCCCATCTTCCCTGATCTAATGCTCCCAGGTTGGCACAAGCAGTGAGGACTGAAACCATGGTGGCCTCACTCACACTCACACCCTCACCCTGCATCACTGAAAATAACTCCAAAGCCTCTCTACATCGACCCACATTTGAGTACCCGGCTATCATTGCGTTCCAGGAGATAGCATCTCTGTGAGGCATTTCCTCAAACATCTTACGAGCAAACTCAATCTCACCAGAGGCTGCATAGGCACCGATCATGGCAGTCTGTGTGACAACATCAGGGTTCAGTATTCCTTCAAATATGCGGTGACAAGCAGTGCTGGAACGAAAAGAGGAGTACATGTGGATGAGACCACTCTGGACGTGTGGGTCGTTGGCATGGCCTCGCTTGAACGCAGCGGCATGAGCGGCCGCGCCAATACAGACAGAGGTGAGATGGGCGGAGGCACGGATTAGGAAGGTGAAAGTGAAGTTGTCGGGAGAGAGGGAAGGGGATTGGAGGACTTGGCGGTAGTAGCTGAAGCCTTCGAGAGGGTTAAATGGGGGTTTGGAATGGGCGCGAATTAGGGAATTGAGGGCAAAGATGGTGGGTGAAGAAGGCGAGTAGTCGAGGATTTGGCGGGAGTAGGGGAGATGTTGAGGGTTGTTCTGAGAGAGGGCGAGGACTGAGATGAATTTGGAGAGGAGAGGAGGATCGCCGAGGTGGCCACGGACAAGGAGCTGAGCGTGTATTTGGTGAAGTTCTTTGATGGTGGAGGTTGGTTCCAGGAGAGTGAGAGGGTTAGATGCAGTGGTCCGGAGGGAAGAGATCATCAGGTTCAGAAGGAGGGAATGGCAATGTTAGGTGCGAGAAAAAAGAAAAGTTGAATTAGAAGGCATAAATATTCATGAGGCGTTGAGGTACGTTCGGATTGTACTAATATTCCGTCGTGTTATAAAAATATTTCATCTATAAAAATTAAGGTGTTATTCGAGTATTATGCGATGTTAATCGAATATTTTGTTGTGTTATTGGAATATTCCCTCACATTACTTGATTTGGGGTTGAAGTGTTATTAGAATATTCCACCGCGTTACTTGATTTGAGGCTGTGCTATTCCAATAACATAGTGGAAATTGAAATCAAATCAAGTCATGCGGTGAAATATTTCAATAACACCGCAAAATAATAGAATAATATCATATAATACTTGCATAACACTTCATTTTTTATAAATAATGTAGATAGAATATTCCTGTAACATAATAGAATATTCCTAACTATTGAAATCTGAACGTGTAGCTCTATATTTGAAGTCCTGGTATAATATTTATCCTTAGCGAAGCAGCGATGGTTGATTTTCCAAGTAAGGCTGACAAAATACTGGAAGATTGTTGGAACTACGCAGCAAGAATAATCAGAGAATGAAGGAGAGTAGCTAAAGCCTGCATTGCATTTCTCAAGACTTGGTTTTAAACAAAAATTAGTGTAGCTGATTTTTATGTAGAAAAATGGTATAATAGTTTGTCACGTTGACAGAAATTGTCCGCGCATAGTTAGTAAGAAATTACGACTTCACTATATGAAAAAGATTATGGATAGTTCAAGTTTCTAGGTAGGGGTGTAAACAAGCCGAACACGAGCCGCTTTTTTGTGGGCCTCTTTTATATTTTGAGCTCAAAAAGTGTGTTCGTGTTCAACTCGTTTGTTTAGCCAGCCGAACACAAGCCGTTCACAAACAAAAAATCGTTTTGACAACCCTAATCAGATAGCCATAAGATGTTAAGGATTAGGGTAATATTTAAAAATTATTGTTTATAGTAAAACAATATTTGAATCTAATTTAATAATTTTTATTCTATTTTCTTAATTAATACAATAATTTATTATAAATCCTTATAGCCTTGTAGTAATTAAGTTTTTTAAAAATACTACTCATCAAAGATATAGATAGATATTTATATATATGTATGTATGTATGTATATATAATTAATTAGTAGTATTTCAAGCCAAAACGACCCTAAACACGAGCGAACAAATATTTGTTTTGTTGTTCGTGTTCGGCTCGTTCGTTAAGCTTCTTAGCGAGTCGAACACGAGCTGTTCGCAAACAACAAACCTTTTTGACAGCCTTACTTCTAGGTTGGATGATTGTTCAACCTGTCAAAAATTTTCTCTTCACAAAGAATCACAAAATTTAACTTTTAGAGTAGCAGAAAAGCATTTTATCACCTAAGATTGAAGCTAAAACATAAAATATAATTGTTTTTCTCTTGATAGAAACCGGCGCATTTAAGAAATGTTTCTTTATAAAATACATTTGTAGATCGTTAAGGTCAAACATAATGATTAATCTCATAAAAATATGAACACATTTTCCTAAGGAAATTTGTGGAATCCCATCCGTTTGACAAAGAGGATTAACCTTTGTGATAACTGATCTATTTGCCCCACTTTACACTCTTATAAATGTGGTTCACATAAGCTATTTTGAATTCCTGTAGATTTGAGACTATCCATCAACATATCATGTCAAATTGGAGTTACATGAATAATAATTAAAATACTTTAATTTAGAAACAACTTTTGAAATCTTTTTAAAGAAACTTGAATTTAAACGGTTTTCTTCAGAGATTCAAAAAGTGGTAAGGAAATATTAAAAAGAAAAGGAAAAAAAAAATAAAAAACAAATAAAAGAAAATAAAAAAAGAGGAGAGAAAGAAGAAGAAAAAAAATAAAAAAGAGAGAAAATAAGTTGACTTGATTAATTCATTGATCATTAAATGATAAATTTATCTTTTTGAAGATAGATGACAATAAAAATAGGGACCTGAGGAAGATAAATGTTTGAGTCTAAGTCATTCACATCCATGTGATTATTCAATTTGATAATTTTTGCCCCAACTTTATTATTTTCAAACCCTTCTAGCAATGTTGGAAGTTAAAGCCACTCCACCACACAATATTTTCAATGAATTCCCCAAATTTTTATTCTCATATTCAATTTCCTTTGAATTTTTGAACTAAACCTCAAAATTCTAAATTTAGCCTTTTCAAATCCATGAAATATCCCATAGAAAAATATTTCAAAAGTGAAATGAGCTAAAATCAATCAACTTAAGGAGGGATACAATCCCATACCTTCATTTAATTTTCACTATTATGTGAAAATGAGGCCAACAACTTGGAAGTTGGGGAAACATGTCATAATAATTCTAACTATACGTTGGAACTATCCCAAAAGTGGCAATCCCTAAACTCGACTTGCAACCAAATGTATCACAATATGAAGTAAGCTCTTGGATGATCGTGCTTAGAGATTGAACATAGTTTTCTTAATCAAGGATGAGCTATTTGGTGTCAAAGAATGAGAAATATTTTGCATGTTGAACTCATGTTAGGACTTATAACTACATGGTTATACCTTTTTGGGCCTTAAGAATGTTGATTTTCAAATATCAGCAAGCCACGACCCAAATCCTCAAGATTCTTGTTTATATCAAATGGAAGGATGCTTCAACAATTTGACATAGGAAAAGAAAAACCATCTTTGGTAATTTAAGAATTATATTCAATTGATTTTACCACTAAAATCCAAAAATGAACTTTACAAAGTAATATTATTTTGATAACACCAATTGTGTTGGTTACTCTTGTTCTAAGGAATGTTACCAACCATCCACTTTCTATTCTATGACAAGATTTAAACAACCTTTCAAGAATTAGAACGATGAAAAACACAAAGTATAAACTGTGTAAAACATAATTTGAAAACTAGTAGTACTTGGCTTCAATTTGGTTAAAAAGAAAACAAAAACACTTCTCATTCTTTATATAAAATTGACTTTGGGGCTGCTTGTGAATGAAAATCTTTAAGATTTGGTTTTGTTAGGCATTTAACTTAAAAACTCTTGCTTTCTAGACCATAATATGAGTCTACTAATCACTAAATTTCTGAATATCTAAAGAAAACTTGAATTATAAATGTTTTGAATTTACAATCAAACTTGAATGAAATTGAGCTCAATTAAACATCAGAATCTCAAAAAATAAATCTCTTCCAATCCAATTAAAATGAATCAAAATATGAACCTTAAAAGGCTCACTAGGTCTGAAACTTAAAATCAAAGAAAAAAGTAAAAATTGAAACCTTTTAGCCTTAATGAAATTATCCTTAAGACTATTCTTGTTATTATTTAGGCAGGGTGTAATGTTCCCTAAGATATACTATACCTAATAAAAAGAGAACTCATTCAACAAAGCATCAAAAATTTTCAAACATAAACAAAACTAAAACTAGACATTTTTTCAGTAGCTAGGGCATTGTCCTTAGACTATCCAAGTTCTTATTTCAGTGAGGTGTAATTTTTCCTATGGCGTATTGTACTTAGTACAATTAAAAATAATATATCAATTGACCTAGGAGTGGGAAACCTCCTCAAATAGCCCCAAAAGTGAGAAAACTCATCAATTGACCCAATATTGTGAAAACTCATCAAATGACTCATGAGAGAAAAAACTCATAAAACAACGCAAAAGTGGAAAAACTCATCAAATGTTTTGGGAGTGGGAAAACTAATCAAATGAACCAGAAGTAGGAAAACCCATCAAATGGCCCATGAGAGAAAAATCCTAAAACCTTTTAAATAAATACCAAACTAAATCAACTCGAACAAACCAATGAACTAAATTGAATCGAACAACCAAACAAACAAATGAATGAATTCCCCATTTGATTAGATCTCAATTTAAATGTGAATTTTCATGGTATTATATCTAGATCTAATCAACTTATTCTCATCTTAGTTTGAATGCAAGTCCTTGTGCTTTCATCCCAAGGTATTTAGGTTAATCAAATCAGAGCTTCCCTTTCAATTAGCTCTTAGTTTAGATGTGAATTCATATGAATTTCTATCCTAATATAATAAATTTATTTATCTCTTAGGTTGGATGCGAGTCTATATGTTTTTCCATCCTAAAGTGTTCAAGTACCTAAACGAATTTCAAACCCTCAAACTAATAAACCTTAAACCCTCAAAGTAATGACTTTCAAACACTCAACCCAATGAATTTCAAGCACTCAAACAAATAAATTTGAAACCTCCAAAGTAATGACTTTCAAACCCTCAACCCAATGAATTTCATGCCCTCAAACAAATTAATCCCTAAAAGTAATGAATTTCAAGCCCCCAAAAAAATAAATTTTAAACCCTCAAACTATTAAATTTCAAAACCCAAAATTAATGAATTTAAAATCCCAAAATCGTAAAACCCAAATCCTTAAACAAAACCCCTTAATTGTAAAGTTTCCAAAGATTTTCAAATTACTAAAATAGACAACTTCAAAAACCTCTTAATCCTCAAAATCTAAATCAAAACTTCAATCCTCAGATTATGTCCAAAAATCAAAACTCAAATGTTGAACATAAATGACTTTAATCTTAGATTTTGTCTATCATTTCGGTCAACACCAATATGTGTGTCATACTGTGCATAATCTGCCAAATATATTGGAGGTCCATTTGTTGACCTCATGTTTTGGTCATTACTTTTTCCTGGATTGTTCATAGTTGAACATCACTTGAGCTGAATTTTAGGATAAACTCTAATTTTATAAATTGAAAATTAACTGGAAAAAAATGAAATTAACTAGAATAACCTTCAAATATAACTCATTTTAACCAAACCTTAAAATTATCATAAAATCAGCCTTAATCAACATAAACCTCAAAATTATCATTTTTTTTCTCCTGAGATCATTTTAGGGCTTAAAACTTCATTCTAAAAGTTAGATGATGCTTATTGTCAGATGTAAAGACCATGGAAATGAGCTTGATGATCATTTGAAATAAT